GAGTGTAAATAGATAAAAGAAAACAGCTGTGACCTTCTTCTCTGATGTGTCTCTAAATTGTATAAACCTTTGGAACCTCTAACATTGGACATCAAATCAATTTCTGTCTTGCTTAACTGAGAGTCACAACTAAACCAATAAGTCAGTAAGTTTCAGTTGTGTGGCAGAAGGAGCCTGGGGACAGTTCTCGGCTTGTAGTCTAACACAGCATGTTCTCCCTGCTGCTGACCTGCAGCCTTCCCGGAACCTCAGGCAGCTTCGCCAAGCCAGCCCCCAGGCCATCTGGTCATCCTTGGCCAAGGCGCTGTTAGCAGAATGGCATTAATACCTTGTCTTGTGACTGCAGTAGCAGATTTTCTTTTTTAAGCTTTACTTTATCAGGGAAACAGGTGGCATTAAATTGAGGCGAATGGAGATTATCACCCTGATGCCTGAAGAAGGGATGTGAACAGTGAATGAATTGTCTTCCCTCAAAACAAAAAGCAGTCTGCATTCCAGTCTTTTCTTGCTTAATGAAAAGGCAGGCAGTTTTTATTTACGTGGTATAGGCTGTTAGAGTAATCAATGTAATATTGCTATGATTTCCAAGAGAAATTGCCAAATGAAAGCAGGACGGTTTCATTAATAAAAGCCGTATAGCCCTGAGCCCAACTCAGTTGGAGCATCATCCCGTACACCAAAAGATTGTGGGTTTGATTCCTGGTCAAGGAGCATACCTCGCTAGGTTGTGGGTTCGATCCATGGTCAAGGTGCATATGGGAGGCAACCTATCAATGTTTCTCTCTCCTTCCCTCTAAAAATCAATGAAAACATATCCTCAAATAAAGCATTTTATATTTTATGTAGTAGCTTATTTTTTCCAGAATGTTTTTACCTTCTTTCGTCATCTTAACAAATGTGTATTGAGCATTTAGTGTGACAGGCACGGTTCAAGGCACTGAGACTCCAACCCAGAATAAGATAGGAACTGTCCCTGCTCACATGGTGGTAAATGCCTTACAGAGAATTAGAAAAGGTGCCTCAGGGAGAGTGACTAAGTTGGGTGGTCTGAGAGGTTCTCACTGAGTTCAGTGAATCTCACTGTAATAGGCTGAGATTTGAATCACTAAGGAGGAGCCAGGCACACACTGATCAAAAGGAAGGCCATGCCAGGCAGAGAAGGCAACTCGGACAAGGCCTTGAAGCAGAAATGGACTCTGCTTGCAGTCAGTGTGGCTAGAACACAATGTGTGAAATTGTGCAGGATAAGACCCAAGAGGCAGGCTGGGCCCAAATCACTAATGGGTTCGTTAGCAGAGATACCATTTGGTCCTCCCAGCAGTTCTGTGAGGTAGGCAGGGCTGTTAGAGTGTAATAGGTGGGAAACAAAGCGTGATGTTCAGTGATAAACATGAGACCAGAACCTAAGGGTCCTTCTTCCTAGTTACAAGTATGCACACTCATTCACCATGGCCTCCATCGTGCTAAGCAGCCAGGAGAGGAACGTGTACTATTATGCTGTTACTAGAGGCCCAGTACATGACATTCATGCAGGGGGAGAGGAAAGGGAGGGGTTCCTCAGCCCAGCCTGTGCCCTCTCGCAGTCCGGGACCCCTCTGGGGATGTCTGGCTTCTGGCTGAGTGGCGCTCCCCCTGTGGGAGCACACTGACCACCAGGGGACAGCTCCTGTGTTGAGTGTCTCCCTGCTGTTCGGTTTGATTTGCATATTAGCCTTTTATTAGGTAGAATAAGTACTTACTAAGCTTTAATATACACAGGGCCTGGAGATCTTGTTCAGATGTTAGATTCTGATACAGGAGTTCTGGGGTGGGGCCCAGGGTTCAGAGGACATCCTAGGCTGTGCAGTTGCTGCTGACCCAGGGACCACATTTTGAGTGGCAGGACCCTACATTTTCATGTCTCCAGCTCCTGTCTTATGCATGCCCGGCTGCACGGAGGCGTTTAAGGTCTCTACTGAAGCCACAGAGTAAATTGTTCCATTTCCTAGTCACCTCTTCACCGGAAGACTGGCTTTAAAATAAATGGGAAATTGAATTTCAAAACCAAGTCAAAAGGGAAATGATGTGGCTTAATGTGACAGTCATTGACTTTAACTTTTCAGTTTGTTGTGTTTTGCTTTATTGTTAAAAACTTATCACAGGAAGCATGACGGAACATTTTCTCCGAATGATTGCATCATACTTTATTATCATGAGCTTGTCACCAGAAAGATGGCTATTCCTGAGAAGTGCTTGCAGGTTCATGTCTGGGTTTTCCCAGCCGCAGCAACCATGCGTCAGCTGTGACCTTCCCACAGGACCCCAGCTGCGTGTGCTGTGTGCTCCGTGCCCCGGTCCCAGCAGGTACCAAGTTCAGCACCCTCCTCCTATGCAGTGAACTTCCTTCTGTGATGTACACCAGGTCAGCCAGAAAGCTTTTGGAGTGAATTGTTAAGCAAGCACATTATTTTTCAATTCTAAATGTAATTTTTTAAAGTAATTTATCATGGAAGGCTGAACATCCCAAACATTTGGAATTCTTTAAGAATTGGTTTTTCCTTTTGTGTGTGTGTGTGTTGTAAAATACACATAACAGTTGCCACCTTAACCGTTTTTAAATGTACAGGTCAGTGTTATTAAATACATTTACCTCATGCAACCACCACCACCATCCATCTCCATAACTCTTTTCACCTTGTAAATCTTAAACTTTATACCCACTAAACAATAACTCCCCAGGCTCCTCTCCCCACAGCCCCTGGACACCACCCTTCTACTTTCTGTCTTTATAATCTTGACTACTCCAAATGCCTTATATAAGTAGAATCATGTCGTATTTCTCTTTTTGTGACTGGTTTATTTCCCCTAGCATAAAGTCGTCAAGGCCCATCCCTGTTGTAACATGCATCAGACTTTTCTTCCTTTTTAAGGCTGAATAATATATCATGGTCTGTATGTACCACATTTTGTGTATCCAGTCATCTATCAATGGCAGTGTATTGCTTCCACCCTTTGTCTATCTAGTGTGAATAGTGCTGCTATAAACATGGGTATACAAATGTCTTTTCAAACTGTTTTCAATTCTTTTACATACAAGCCCGGAAGTGGGATTGCTAGATCATATGGTAATTCTAGTTTTAATTCTTTGAGGAACTACCATACTGTTTTTCACAACAACTATACCATTTTACATTCCCACCACAGTACACATGGGTTCCAGTTTTTCAAATTCCTTACCTATACTGGTTTTCTATTACTTTTTATAGTAGCCATCCTATTGTGCGTGCAGTGTTATGTTATTATAGTTTTGATATACATTTCTAATGATTAGTGATGTTGAGCATCTCTTCGCGTGATTATTGGTTGTTCCTATATCTTTGAAGAAATGTCTATTCAAGTCCTTTTTTGTTCTTGAGTTTTACGAGTTCTCTATATATTCTAGGTATTAATCCCATATCGGATAAATGATTTGCAAACATTTTCTCCCATTCTGTGGGTTGCCTTTTTACTCCATGAATAGTATTTTTTTTATGTATAAAATATTTAAAATTTTCATGTTTGGTTTGTCAACTTGTTCTTTTGTCACCTGTGTCTTTGGCCAGGGGTGGAGGATGGGTAGCTACTACTGTGCTAAGAGCTGAAACTGACCAAAATTAGCTGCAGTTTACCGTTCAGCTCTTCCCTGGAATTTGGGAACCTTCAACAGACTCCAGAGTCCCAAAATAGTTATATCAGACAGATTCTGCCAGTGCACTTGTCTAGGTGGAGAGAGAGATTCCTGGTGCTTTCTACTCTACCATCTTCCCACAATCCTCTAAAAATTGATTTAGCGTATCTAATGGAAATAGTCTCATCTTGTAAAAAAAGAAAAATACTTTTTTAAAAAGAAAAATCAGTATTTTTTATTTAACAGACTTCATTTCAAATAACTTAGCTGTTTCCAAAAAAATTGAATATTCCTTCCATGGCTGAAAAACAACTATCACAGATATCCAAAGGAATGTACTGTAAATTCTGAAGACAATAATAATAATGAATAAGGCTTACCAACTATTTATTATGAATCAGACTGTTAGGTAAACTTGTTTTTTGTTTTTTTTCTTGGTTTTTTAGTTTTATTGCTTAAAGTATTACAAAGGGTATTACATATGTGTCCTTTTTTTTTCCCCGCCCTTGACAATCCCCCGTCCTCCCCTACCCCCCAGTGTCTTATGTCCATTGGTTATGCGTATATGTTGCATACAAGGTCCTTTGGTTAATCTCTTACCCCCCTCCCTTCTGCCCCCCAACCCTCCCAGGCCTTCCCGCTGCAGTTTGACCATCTGTTTGAGGCAGTTCTGCCTCTGTATCTATTATTGTTTGAAAGT